CTCCCCGCCTCGGCGCCGCGCGGGCCAGCGCCAGCAGCCTCATGGAGAGTGCGGGCCGGGCCGGGGCGCGCGCCTACAACTCCCAGCATGCAACGTGCGGGCGGCGCTTCCGGGCGGCCGGGCGCACACGCGCTCCCGGGGGGCGGGGTCGCCGAGGCCCCTGGTGCATGCCGGGATGGGGCGTCTGGCAGGGAGGGGCGTGTGGCTGGAATCCCTCCGCGGCTGCAGAGACCCCTGCCTCCTCCCCGGTCCAAGCCGCCGGGCGGGTTCGCTCAGCGCCTTCCGTAAGGGCTTCTTCAGGTAGTTGGGAGCTTCGAGTACCGAACTCCCGAGGTCCGGTGACGTGGTGCAAACCACGTGCGATCAGTTGTTTGATTGCTCTTTTGTGGCCCCACGTGCTCGGAGCCCAGACGCTTGAGGATCCGCCGAGAAGCGCCGAGAACTTTTAAATTTCACTTTAAACGTGCTAATATTTTGTCGTTCGTGAAAAGGACAGCATTCTTAGGAAGTCCTACTCGTAGGTTCCTTCTGTGGTACTGTCACTTCGTTGATTTATCCACCGACTCATGATTTATTAATACTGCATTGAGGCCCAAGCTGCATAGATTCGAATGCCAGCCCCCTGCTCACTCGTTGTTGACCTCAGTTTCAGGCACGTTACATAATCTATCTGTACCGCAGTTTACTCATCTGTAAAACGAGAGTAATGATAGTCCTGACCTCAAAGGGTTGTGTGGATTGAGTTAATACATGTGTTTGGCGCACGATAAGTGCTCGATAATTAGATTTCATTGTTGGTTGTTCAGTACGCACTGAATACAGACTAGGTTGCGGTCACCGAGACTACGGCGAAGAACAAACAAAAACTTGGGAGGGGAAATGGAAAAAGAAGTAGAATAAAATTAATGTAACAATTTGTCAGTTACATTTATTTAGTGACGCACCATGTTCAAGGCACTGCAAGAGGCATTTCATATGCAGTATAAGATATCTTGAGTCACTTTTACATCACGTTTGTAATTTACTTGTTTAAAATGTCAGGCTAGGATTCCTGTCCTATCTGTCTCAGTGTATCCCCAGAGTCTAGCCCAGGATCAATAAGCGGATAACTGCATGGATTCTTACATTAGCTGTGGCCTGTGTGGGTCAACCATAGAGGCGCCATACTAATCCTGGTCTGAGTGGCTCCAAAGTCTTTAATATATTCGTTATATTCCACTGCTTCATCCTAAAAAACATCAAAATACAGTGTATTGTAATTTACCTTTTTCATTTGTAAGTTCATTTTGTGGATACTTCATATGTTAAATATCATATGATGCTTATCTACAGCTTATCTAGTATCTACAGCTTATCTATAGTTTGTCTAGTAACATTGGCCCTTTATGGTAGTTCAAATACCTAGGATTGTAAAAATCTCTCAGTTTCGTAAACTCATTTCAAGACAAATAAGGAAGCACTTGGTGGAATCCAACTGAAGACGACCTGAAAGGGATATTAAATTTGAGAATTCCATGTTCTGGCTACCCCGTCCATGAAGGGATGGACGGTTTCTCATCTCATACCAATATAAAATGCCAGTTATCAAAATACTGACAACCCTGTCATTATTTTAACTTAAAGCATGTCCACTTGCATATGGCAATACACTTACGTATTAATTCCCAATATTTTTGAGCATTTATTATGTGACAGAAACAGTTCTAAGTGTTCATATGTTAATCCTCACAACTCGGTGAGGGAGGTACTATCATTATCCCCATCTTGTAGATGAGGAAACTGAAGCACATAAAAGTAGGTAGCAGAGCTGGGATTCACACCCACATAGCCTGACTCCCAATTCTGTGCTCCTAATTCCTGTTTCTCAAGTGAAGGTCCGTTAAGGATGATGACATATAGAACTATAGTGCTAAGTCAGCTCTTCTTCCTATAAATATGCTGAGGCCCCTTTCTTATAGTAACAATAAAACTTTGTTCCTGTGCTGTATCTCCCTTTTCCTTCAATTGCCAGAGTACTTGAAAGAATTGAAATAGGTAATGTTTATATATTTCATTATGATTTACAATATGTCTTCATCTATCTTTTATGACTTGTTCCTCCTAACTCTATAGGGATGGAGCAGGTATCATCAGCATCCTTTTTAATTTCCAGATAAGGAAACCAAGGTGGATCTATTGTAAGTAACTTATCCTAAGTCACATAGCTAGTAAGTGGCAGGCTAGAACCCTAGCCTCTTGGTTCTAGATTTCTCATCTTCAGTACACCATATTTGTTGCCTTCATTTACTCTTCCATTCTCTCACTTCTTGTAATCTGTTTCCTACTCCCAAATCACTCTACTAAAATGGCTACAAATTATCCAACCCTGTGACCATTTTTAGTAATTTATTTATTTCTTTCAACGTCTCTGTTCACCATTTCCTTCCTCCTTGAAGTTCTCTCCTGTCTTGACTTCTGATCCTATGTTATCCTCAATCTCCTTTTACTTTTTGCCTGTTCCTCTTTGTCATCTTCACTACACTCCTACTTTTGCTCTCCTAACATGTCTTCCCCAAGGCTGCGTTCTTTACCACCTGGTTTTCTGTTTGCTGCACTTGCTCACTCAGTAATGATCGATTTCTACAGCTTCCACGCTCAGTTTTGTGAAGATGATCTCCCATTTTCTATCTCTCGTTCTCATATTCTGTACTCCCAACTTGTGTTCCGAGATGCCTACACATCTCACCAGCCCTTCAACTCTAACACACCCAAAACCAAAGTCATGATCTTCCCCGTGAAATATATCTCCCTCCGGAGGTGGCTACTTCTGCCAGTGCATTGAACCACTCGACGTAACTCAGTGCTCTTAGGGGCACCTTTATCTCCTGCATATTCAGCATCCCAGTTCAGTGTCAGCATACTGCTGTCACATCTGTCTTTTCTGTTCCTTTCCTTGCTTCCTCTACCTTAGATTAGCCCCTCAAAGCTGCTCTCATGGACTGAACAGAGCAGTTTCATGGAAGGAAATTTATCCATTACTTGAAGGTCGTCTCCAGGTGGTCAGATGGCAGGTGATTTTTGTTTTCTTCCTTGTACCTTTTTGGATGTTAAAAAATTCTCCACAGTGACCATGTAGTACTTTCATAATCAGAAAAAAAAAGAGCCTTAAAGAAACTGACTATAATAAAAGGAAAAAAGAAATTGTTTCATTCCCTCTTTGACCATTTGTTGAATGCTGCCTCCCTCATGAACCATTTCCAGATTTCCTCAGCCAGGCTTGTTTGATCATTTCTTTGATGTTGCTTTTTCTTTTAACCTCTCTTATGTCATTAATATATTTTAATATGTTTTGTTTTGTATTAAATTTACAGGGCTGGCCCCGTGGCTTAGCGGTTAAGTGCGCGCGCTCCACTACTGGCGCCCCAGGTTTGGATCCCAGACATGCACCGACGCACCGCTTCTCCAGCCGTGCTGAGGCTGCGTCCCACATACAGCAACTAGAAGGATGTGCAACTATGACGTACAACTGTCTACTGAGGCTTTAGGGAAAAAAAGGAGGTGGATTGGCAATAGATGTTAGCTCCGAGCCGGTCTTCCTCAGCAAAAAGAGGAGGATTAGCATGGATGTTAGCTCAGGGCTGATCTTCCTCACAAAAAAAAAGAAAAAAATTTACAAATTTAATTTGTGTGTGGTTGTCTTAATTTGAGAGTGACTGTCTTATTAGACAGTCAATTCTTGAAGACTGAAAATAAGTCTTATCCTGCTTCTGTTTATGGATAATTTCTCAGTAAATGTTTGTGAAATGTATTTAATTGAATCAAAAAAGTATAATTGTGAGTTGATAACCACTGGGTCTGTGTCAGATTCTCTTCTGTCATCTCAGTCCTTGTTAAGCCTAGCGCCATTGTGACCAAAAGCTCTTTCATGATGGGCTTCATGGCAGAGAAAGAAGTTGGAAAATAGGTCAGGTAAGCGGTCTTTGCTGGCCTAGTCCCATCATTGGTTTCTTTTAGAGGAAGTGGGTGTGAAGCAGGAAGCCTGAGGCAGAATAGAGCATTGGAGCATTATTTAGTTCAAGAAAACAGTTTTTTTTAAAATCCAAAGCATTTGCATGGTCCCTTAGGCTTTATTAGAATGATCTCTCTCCTCCATATGTCAGCTGATTGCTCACTGTTGTAGATATTTAAGTGATCAGTATCCATTAATACTAAGTAGAAACACTGAGAGAGTCCTAAATCAGACATCTTTAAAAATTTAGGTTCTATTTTCCTACTACAGATTTCACTGTCTGTCTTCAGTTTCAAGTTGGGACACGGTAACACTTAGGATCCCTAGACCTATTGAAGCGTACTTCTAGTTTGAAACCCTCATGGGGTTCTTATGACCTGTGGCCCACTGATCACTTCTCCACCAAAAAACACAGCTAAAAAAAGAAAAACAAAAATGTTATTCTTTTGTTTGTGTGTATGTATACTAGGTTTTTGCCTTGAACTTTAGTCTAAAGTTAAGAAGGTTAAACTAGCATCCAACGAAGAAGAATTTGACATTACTTTGTATATGGGGAATCGAATGACCATATATGTACCAGAAATCACACACTTGTTCAGTTTATTTATTTGCTGAGGAAGATTTGCCCTGAGCTGACATCTGTTGCCAATCTTCCTCTATTTTTGTATGTGGGTCGCCGCCACAGCATGGCCACCGATGAGTGGTGTAGGTCCGTGCCAGGGAACCGAACCTGGGCCACCAAAGTGAAACATGCTGAATTTAACCATCAGGTCACTGGGGCCAGCCCCTCAATTTATTTTTATTTATTTTTTAATTTTTTATTTTTTTGTGAGGAAGATCAACCCTGAGCTAACATCCATGCTAATCCTCCTCTTTTTGCTGAGGAAGACTGGCTCTGAGCTAACATCTATTGCCAATCCTCCTCCTTTTTGCTGAGGAAGACTGGCTCTGAGCTAACATCTATTGCCAATCCTCCTCCTTTTTCCCCCCAAAGCCCCAGTAGATAGTTGTATGTCATAGTTGCACATCCTTCTAGTCGCTGTATGTGGGACTTGGCCTCAGCATGGCCGGAGAAGCAGTGCATCGGTGCACGCCCGGGATCTGAACCCGGGCCGCCAGTAGCGGAGCGCACGCACTCAACCACTAAGCTACGGGCCGGCCCTCAATTTATTTTTAAAACATATATATAGTGTTCACTCAGATCCAGGTACCTGTTCTAAGTACTTTAAAAACACTGTTAATCCTTACAATAACCCTATGGGGTTGGTACTATTACCCCATTTCACATATGGGGAAACTGAGGCACTGAGAGATAAAGTAACTTGTACAAGGTCATTCAGCCACTGAGTGGGAGAGCTGGAATTTAAACACAGGTCATCTGGCTCTACAGTCTTACACTCATAACTACTGTCCTTTCAAACTATGGTCATGTGCCACATAATGACATTTCGATCAATGACAGACCAATGATGGATATGACAGTGGTCCTATGAGATTAGTACCATACAGTACAGGTGTGTAGTAGGCTATAACACCTAGGTTTGTGTAAGTACACTCTATGATGTTTGCACAATGACAAAATCCCTAATGACACGTTTCACAGAATGTAACCTCTGGTTATTAAGTGACACATGACTGCAATTGAACTGACTATCCCTGGACCTAAGACTTTGTTCTTCTGGTCAAGGAGAAAGCCTTTGGGGATTAGTTCCAGGTAAGTAATGTTCCATTCCTTTTGATAGTTTTATCAAGAAACATCTATTAAGTGCTTGATGGCATAGTATCTATACCAAATGTTTCTTGAGTTTGGATGGACTTAGAAGATAAGGAGTAAGTGCCTATCTTGGGTGTATTTATGTTAACTATCCACATAAAGCTTACCAAAAGATAAGGGAACATGAATACCTTATGTGCCTCTACTGCTTTTGGAATTCATAATTCATTGCATCTGATCCTCACACGAACTCTTCAGTTGGCAGGACAAATAGTAGTAATTTCATTTTACGGATGATGAAACTGAGGCTCCAAAAGGTTAAGTGACTTTCCAAAAATCTCAGAAATCAGAGCTCTAATCCAGTTCTCCTGACTTCATATTCAGTGACCTATCTCCTACATTCACCCCCTTTCCTGCAGTCTGAATTTTGTTGTTACCTTGGCAACGGTGTAGAATGCTAAGTGCCTGGAAACCATGAGAATGGCCTTCTCTGTGTGCCACAAAGTTACGTTTAATTGAGATCACCTTAACCAACAATCTCTTTGTCAAACTCCCTTCTTCGTGTGCTTCAGCTTAGCATTTGTTAAGCCTAGTGCCCTTGTCACTGAAAGCTCATTTAGGATGGGCTTCTGGGCAGACAGATCAGGTGTGGTATCATTTCTGGTCCTGCTACAGTCACTCTGTCTCTCTTTGTCCCAGGAAGTGGGTATGGAGCAGGAAGCCTGAGAGACACGGAATAGCAGCCCGGAGTGAGGCCTTTTCCCCTACTTGGGCCTCACATTCCACCTCTGATTTAGGCATTTGCCTCCCAGCGGCTCTTGTGAGGTGTGGCTGTTTGTCAAAGGTGAGGGGCCTTTGCCTTCTGTCGGTTTGAGGCACCACTGTTTAGAGTGGTTTAGATGGGCAATAATCTTTATTTTAGACGAAATAGCCATTCTCTGGGGCTCATTTTTCATCCAGTTATGAAGGTATGAAGAGTCAGATGTATAAGATTCTAAGAAAACTTTAAAAGCTAGGTCATTTAAGATTGTGTCAGCAGGTGGCACTTCTCTCCTTATCCACCAAAGACAGTCTCTCCAAGAAAAGAAATACTGGGCCGGCCCGGTGGCTTAGGGGTTAAGTGCGCGCGCTCCGCTGCTGGCAGCCTGGGTTCGGATCATGGGCGCGCACCGACACACCGCTTCTCCGGCCATGCTGGGGCCGCGTCCCACATACAGCAACTAGAAGGATGTGCAGCTATGACATACAACTATCTACTGGGGCTTTGGGGGAAAAATAACTAAATAAAATCTTTAAAAAAAAAAAAAAAAAAGAAAAGAAATACTGTTCCTCTTTCTTTGCTGCTACTGTTTTAGTTCCTCAGACTTGTTTAGCCAGAGTCTAACATTTCTCCTCAGTTCCCTTTTGTAGCGATTTCGTCTACAATATCCACTTATGCATTTTAACTTATTTATACCCTCTTTCCACAAAGGATCTGAAATTGCTTACAACATACAGTATACAATAGTAAAATGTGAGGAAAAGGAGAAGATAAATTGCAACAAAGAATATTAATAATTAATGTTAATATAAAATAATATGTAATTTGATTCTGGGTTACGGGTAGCTGGAGCCAAAAAACAACAACAACATATATATATATGGTTTGCGTTACCAGGTCTGTGGGTGAATGCGGAGGGAGAGACAATGACTTTTCTTGGACTTGGAATTTAAATGAAAGTTCTCACCTATGGTTATTGGAGGCAAGTTTCTGTTGCTGTGTCCTTCTCATCTCCCTAACCTAATTTATTTATCTGTTTATTTAAATTGATGTCATAATAGTTTATAACATTGTGAAATTTTAGTTGTACATTATTGTCAATCACAATATAAATGCGTCCCTTTACCCCTTGTGCCTACCTCCCATCCCTCTTCCCCCTGGTAACCACCAAACTGTTCTCTCTGTCCGTGTGTTAGTTTATCTTCCACATGAGTGAAATCACGCAGTGTTTGTCTTCCTCTGTCTGGCTTATTTCGCTTAACATAATACGCTCCAGGTTCATCCATGTTGTTGGAAGTGGGACGATTTTGTCTTTTTTTATGGCTGAGTAGTATTCCATTGTATATATATACCACATCTTCTTTGTCCAATCGTCAGTCAAGGGACACTTGGGTTGCTTCCACTTCTTGGCTATAGTGAATAATGCTGCAGTGAACATAGGGGTGCATGAGCCTCTTTGGATTGTTGATTTCAGGTTCTTTGGATAAATACCCAGTACTGGGATAGCTGGATCATATGGTATTTCTATTTTTATTTTTATTTATTTATTTTTTTGTGAGGAAGATGGGCCCTGAGCTAACATCCGCCAATCCTCCTCTTTTTGCTGAGGAAGACGGGCCCTGGGCTAACATCCATGCCCATCTTCCTCTACTTTATATGGGACGCCTCCACAGCGTGGCTTGCCAAGCAGTGCGTCAGGTGCGTGCCCGGGGGGTTCCCAACTGGGGAACCCTGGGCTGCTGCAGCTGAGCACGCACACTTAACCGCTTGCTCCACCAGGCTGGCCCCACTATTTTTAATTTTTTGAGGAATCTCCATACTGTTTTCCATAGAGGCTGCACCCCTTTGCATTCCCACTCCCTAACCTAATTTATAAGAAGTTATTTCTGGTCTGTAAAAAGGAAGTGGTACTTTTACTACCCTTCGGCCTCAGACCTGCACAGTCAGCATTCTTCAACCTATACCCTTCCATTTCAAGATGCCCACCTCACCCACTCCTTCACCCTACACAGACCGAGCCCCGACTGTCTACATGGCCTTGTCCTGGGCAGTGGAAACACGGTATATCTATTAGGTAGGCTTGGGTGTGCCCCAATCGACTGATGATAAGAAGCCCTTCTCTCAGAGGACCTCTAACTTACTTGGAGAAAGAAGGCCTACGTTTATACTCGTGAAAAATTAGAGAGCTATACCAGGCGATGTTAGAATCAAACTCGAACTGTCTGTGATTGGTCTTAATAGGGTTCTAGGGTTGTTCTGCGTTTTTAAAAATGAATCAGTAAGTTCCATCTCGTTCCAGTTTGTAACAGAAAGCCAGATTAAAACCGCATCTTCGATGCAGATAGTATGGAACGGTGTGGTCCGCATTGGCTGGGTGAGGGGGTGGGGGTGAGGGTGGGGACCGGCGTGAGCAGAGGGCGGGGAGAGCCCCGGGCAGGGGGCGTGCCGGAGATCGCCTCGAGGACCAGCGTCGCCTGAGGTTGGGACCAGGATCGGGGGCGGTGCCGCGCGGGGG